CTACGCACGCTCATGACGTCACCGTTGTCAAAGATTCCCGTATTGGGTGTTTACACGGAAACGATAATGGTGGCGTTTTCAAAAACTTGCACTTTGAAACCCGTTTTCAAAAATATGCGTTTTCAGTCCCCAAAACGCCGTTGTCGTGTAAACGAACAGGCAAAAGGCATAAAAAGTTTCCCATTTTTGGCTGAAAACATTGTCGTGTAAACGGCCCCAAGCAGCTCCCTGTACTAAAATGTTTTCTCCCACCTTCCTCTGACTGTTATCTGTAGCCCAGTTGGGCCATGCATAATCTTACATAGGCACCAAGTGCAAACCTCTAGCTACTATTTTTACACCACAGACCGGTTACATATTAAACATTTTCTTGTGGACCTGCTGGAGGGTCCACGAGATATATATTAGTGATTCAACGGATGATGTTGTGGTTTTTGAGACTTCACGGTTCAGATAATTTTTCAGATAAGCAAGAAAAAAAGTATTTAAAGCACAGAGAATCAGAATGCCGAGAATGGTTTTTTGACCATTTTATGTGCAAGTATCTCAGATGCAGGGAGACGTAAAATAGAAATCAACTCTGCATTCTCGCGCTGTCTGAAACACGTCTCTGTGAGTCAGAACAATCATTCATTTACTAATTAAACATTAAATTTACATGAAAATGCAGAATAATTAGAATAATCATTATCATGCTCTGCGTCTTCACATGCTATCGGAAACTTCCTATTTCCCACTTATGAAGTCGTGATTACAAGCACGTTGCATTCTTTTCTGTTAAAAATAACAGTGAACAGTGGTTTGTGAATGTTCATGCTTAGCCAAAATAATTTTATCGGGAACGTTCATGTGAGCGCTGCTGCAGTCTTAGGCCCACTCCAAATGCTCTCATTGGTTGAGACGCATGATGACACCCATCCCAAGCCCTGATTGATCAACATCCCACCCCTCCTGTGACACATGGTTTGTCTGTGTGTATTCAGAGCCAGTGAGCAACGGACTTTCAAAATAATAATAATAATAAAAAACCTGCCTTAATGTGCAATAAAATAATTGTCGGTGTTAATTAATTAATGCGTTAACGCGATAATAACGTGTTAACTTGCCCAGCCCTAATATATATTAGGAGTGTAACAGTTCACACATTTCACGGTTCGGTTCGATACAACACATTGGTGTCACGGTTCGGTTCGGTATGTTCGGTACGGGGCTAATTGGTTATGTCGCAATGTTGGAAATATTTCTGTTTTATGAAGGCGAGCCAGTGGATATCACACAGGCAACGTGCAAACATTGCGCAAGAGTTATGCTGGTGAACGTCTTAATCTCAGCCAATTCACTATATGCAGAAAGTGAAAGTAAAAACGGACTGATGGAGTAATGACAGAGCTTTCGGCATTTGACGCCGTATTCTCTCTCAGAGACGAATCTACTTCAACATATGCTGATAACGGTATATAGCTAACTGTTTTAATGTATTCCCTTAATATTTCTCTTGTGGCCCGTACATAGTGGGAAAAAAAAAAGAGAAGAAACGTATTTTGTGTTAGAAAGCGCAAATGATGCATGAATCTACTTAAAGATAATTGAGCTGACAGCGGGCAGAGGGAAAGCTGAGGCCATGCCTTTTTGACCACTCATTTAATAAACAAAAGAATGCATTATTATGAGAAGTTCCTTCCTGCGCCCATGTTATCTGTGTCCCCAACCTCTCCAGCCCTGAGCTACAGCTCATCAGACTCATGATAAATGTAAGTTGAGTAGACATGATGAATTGCTTTTGTGTGAGTTTGAGAGAGAGTGTTTACTTGTGCTTTTTGTGTCCTACAGTGAAACTTTAGGATTCTTCACGGGGAAATTAATTTAGTGAAATTCGGTGTTGTTTATCTGAAAGTTTTTAAAGGCCAAACAGCAACTGCTTTCTGTATGTGCTTTTATGCAAATGATCTGGTAGGTCATGATGCAGTTCAGTAGTGTGAGAAGGTCATCCAGTGCACATGCTGATGCCTGAACCATCACTTGCTGTCAAACTGAAACTCCTTCCCTCCAACTGCATTAGCCATTTAACCTCCATGGGTCAACAGGGTAATGTTACTGCCTCTAGCGTTTCCTTCCAGTCGTATGTAACTAGCTACGCAACGTGAACTTGGTCAATTTGTTCTGTGCAGGAGATGATAAAGTAGTGGAGAATAGAAGTAATTATCATGCTGCGTTTCCTCTAACAATAGAACCTCTCACAAGATCTGGTCATGTATTTTCCACATTTCATGGAATAACAATTTTAAAATGTCAAAAAAAAAAGTAAAATAAATAAATAAATGCTTGGATATATTTATGAATGTGAAGTTTTTCTTAAAATTACATTACCAGTCGAAAGTTCAGAAATTATGTTTCTTGTGGTCTTAAAGGAATAGTTCGCCCAAAATAATGAAAATTTGCTTAAAATTTGATCACTCACAGGCCATCCAAGATGTAGATGAGTTTGTTTCTTCATCTTAACAGTTTTGGAGAAGTTTAGCATTACATCACTTGCTCACCATTGAATCCTCTGTAGTGAATGGGTGCCGTCAGAAGGAGAGTTCAGACAGCTAATAAAACATCACAATAATCCACAAATAACCCTGACCATATTCCATAATAATGCTTCCTCTAGTGAAGATGCCCATTCCCTTTTTTCCTCTCATAAATCCACCCACATATTTGTTTAGAGCCATTTTGGACTGTTTTCAATTGTAAACAGTGCTTTATCTTTGCATATTTCTCTCCTGATTCAGACGAGACAACTTTCTCACTGGAGAAAGCAGTATTATGGATAGAGGACTTGTATATTAGCCAGAAGCAACAGTTTGAAGTTAAAAACATCTTGCTGGATTTGTTTCTTACAAACACACACACAGCTTTTTGCTTCACAAGACATTAATTGATGGACTGGAGTTGTGTATTGTGTTGGAGTATTGTGTTTTTATCAGCCGATTAGACATTCTGATGGCACCCATTCACTGTTCCGATGTAGAAACGAACTCATCTACATCTTAGATGGCCTGAGGGTGAGTACATTTTCCGCAAATTTTTTATTTTTGGCTGAACTATTACTTTAAAAACATTTTGACTTAAAGGTTTGTGCTTAAATTAGTATGGGCCTTTATGTGTGTGTGTGTGTGTATGTTTATTTGTTTATTTATTTTTATTATTATTTTTTTCTTGTGAAATAACTGATTAAAAAATGAAATGGAAGGGTTGGAGTGGATTGTGAAGAAAAAGCAGTCAAGTGTTCAAAATACATGGGAACTCTTTGATTGATAAAATGCCCAGAGTGTGAAGAGCTGCAGTCTATGTAAAAGGTGGCTACTTTAAAGAAAGATTTCTTTTAATATCTAAAATTGCCATATTTCATGACTATCTAAAACTGTAAAAATAAAGTTTCAGTAGGTGTGGCCAAACTTTTGACTGGTAATGAATATCTTTCAAATACTGTTAATATCTTAGGAACTAGGAATTCCTAACGTACCAGTGCAAGATCATCTTGCATTTGCTGTGCAAGTAATCAAATTTAATTCTTAACATATATTTATTTACATATATATTATGCTTGCATGGCTTTGTAATGTTCCTGGAGTATCCAATCATGTAATTAGTGCCAACAGATGTTACACATACCAGGGGCGTTTCGTGCCTTTGACCACTTCTTGGGCACAAGTCTCCCATCAACATGTTTTATGTTCATTTTCTAGGGGTTATTACAAATTATGGTGACTAGGTTGCATTTTAAAGGGATAGTTCACCTAAAAATGAATTTTTTTTCATTACTCACCCTCATGTTGTTCTAAACCGTAAGACCTTTGTTCATCTTCAGAATACAAATCAAGATGTTTTTTGATGAAATCATAGAGCTTTCTGACCCTGCATAGACAGCAACGCAACAACCACGTTCAGGTCCCAGAACGGTAGGGAAAAAAAGACTGACATGGAAGAGAAGAAATTGTTCAATAAAGTCAGTATTTTTGTTTTCTTTGCACACAAAAATATTTTCGTAGCTTCATAACATTTCGGTTGAACCACTGATGTCACATGGAATGTTTTATCGATGTCCTTACTACCTTTCTGAGTCTTGAACATGGTAGTTGCTTTGCTGTCTATGGAGGGTCAGAAAGCTCTCGGATTTGAACCTTCTCATAATCAGGGAGCATTTCTAAAAACATTGTAAAGCAAACTATGGTTGTAAGTAGGGATGTAACGATTCACTCAACTCACGATTCGATTCACGATTTTGATTTCACGATTCGATTCACGGTTTTTTTGTTTGTTTGTGAATCGATTTTCAACCTGCTCGCGGTTAATCGTTACATCCCTAGTTGTAAGTTTTGTCATTACCATCATAGATTCTATTTTTCCTGAGACCATAGTTCCAACAAACAAACTGCAGCTTTTGATCTGTGGTCAGAAGCATGTTGTTAGTATGATAGATCAATCAATAGAATTGATCTAAATAGATCATGCTCTTGAGCAAAATAAGCAAACTAGATTACAATATATCTTTCATTTCATGTACTGTACATGCAGATTTCATTCTGTGTCTTTTAGTTTGTCAAGAAAATAAAAGGTGGTGGAACCTTGGAGTACGACATAAGAAGGAACCTGCGATTGAATGGAATATCTGTAAATATAAAAAAAAACAAAATATCAAAGTAGTTCTCAGATGCCATGTTGTTATTTACAGCAATAATCTGACATTGATTGTCGAACTGATTAATTGAGAAGTTACTTCACCACCTGCATTTCATCATTTACAGTTCTGTTGTTAAACCAATGTGGTTGGAACGACAAAGTTTATGCACTTTTGGGAAACGGTTGGGTGGTAGACCGTTTACAAGAAAGCACCACTGTGTGACAAGCTTTAAGATGTACCATAATACATAATTATTTTTTTTTTTGACATGACTTGAATAGTACTTCCCTTAATGCTGAGTTGTGATCTTTTCTCTCTTTCACACTCATTCCAGATGAGCCAAAGAGATTCCAGGTTATGATTCACGGCATTGAACCACTGCTGGAAACACCCATCCAGTGGTTGAGCGAACACTTGAGCCACCCAGACAACTTTCTCCACATCAGCATCATCCCAGCACCAAGTGACTGATTCCAGAGGATCCAGTTGTCCGTTGATGGAGAATTAGGGATAAAAGATCTGCAGAGATGTTCTGATGGCACACCATTTCTTCCTGTTTTCTCATTCTCATCCCTGCAGTGGCTTTATTGAGCGATGGTCATCAAACAACAGAATCCTGTGCACTTCACAAGACGCTCATGGTTTATTTAGAGCTCTCAGATGGGTCCCGTGTTCTTGCTGCCTTTAAAATTCTTACATTCATATATTTGCACAAGCTTGATGTGATCGTACTCCCACATTAACTCTTTGACACTCCCGTTCCCACTCTCTAATTTGTGAGTAACGTACGCTTAGACTCTCAGATCTGGTAATTATTAGGAGGAATCCTGTTTGGTGTTTAATGAGGCCACTAAAGTGCTGTACGTACTACACGACCGCCATAGGGCTTGATTATCAACATGTTTTATGGATGCATCCAGGTCAGATGAGGTGTAAAATAAAGATGGAATTCTTGCATAAAAACTAAAGCAGGAAAAAATGATGACTTCGGGATTTGAGGGAAAAAAATCGGTGACTTCATTCACTGGATTAAATGTGTCAGTGTCTGGTTTTGGCAGCCGTGTAGGGGGTCACACGGCTCAGTGGAGGTGATGATGCCGCAAGCTGATTAGTCACGGTCCCAAACAAATGTTAGTGGGATATAGCACAAATGAAGCTCTCTTTCCCAGACACTGCTAAAGATATGGTTTGCTTTCTTCTCATTTTTGGGGGGTTTTCCCATCTGCTTGGAAAAAGGTTTTTATTCATTTAGAGCAAATATTTGATCTTTGAAATGGGTATGTATCGTATAAAACATAAATCAGAGGCCATACAAATACATTATCATATCGCACTGTTTCCAACAAATTAACCTTACAGTATTTTTTCCCCTCCTTTATTTACAACCTGTAGGCAGACTAGCTGTCTGTGTTTAGGGGGATGTGGGGACTGTAGATCAGTGCTGCAGACGACACACAGCTGAGAGTGATTATTCGTTTAGAGGAATCGGTGAGTGTTTTACCCCAGACCGAGACAGAGAGACAGCGGGCAAAACCGCAGAGCTTACGCCACCACCAGGCGACTTCTCGGCAGACTGTTCTTGAGACAGTGCTGTTTGTGTACAAACTTTCAGATGTTTAGATCATTCCTTGTATGACTCTGAATAATTACAGAAAGAAGGATGCTGCAACTCCTCACTACTAATAACACGGTTAAAATGATAATAACATGGTTCAAATGTGCATGTTCTTGCGTTATTTTAATTGCGGTGATTGCTTTTCTGTCTTTGCTAGATTCAAACAAAATGCATTTAATTAAAACTAATTTTATAGCTATGCAGTGTTTGGTTGTTGTTGTTTTTTTCATTTTTCTGAATGAAATTAAAATTCACCCTATATATTTTGTAAAATTCATTCAATTTAGCTGTTCTTTTTTTTTTTTTTTTTCTTTACTTAATAATTTTCAATCGAAATGTGATAATCGTCCAGTAATATGACACTTATCCAATCATTTATTCTGCTTAAATCCCACCCCTACAATCGACAGCAAGCCCAAAATTCAAATCTGCCTCCATCCAGATTATTTTTAACTCGCTGTTTAACTCGCATGTTCGTTGAAATACAGAAGAAAATATCCATTGCTGCTTCTGCTTTATTGCAACTTTAAATTCAAGTTATGAGTCAAGAAGGAGATTCTAAAAAATTCAAAGAGGTCTGTAGTAGCTCAAAATCATTAACTCTCAGCATTTTCATTTCATGAAAAAAAAAATGTAAATATTGTGACCACAAATTATGAATTCGTTCAAACAATTTATTAACTTGTGTCCGTAATTTGTTCCATTGTTTTAGTTAAATTTTGGCCATGTTTTATGTTTTTTCCATTGTTTTCATTTAGTTAAATTGTGTCCACAATCTAACTAAAATGAGTGAAGGAACTGGTACATTGTGGACATGGTTGAACTAAAACTAGCAATTAAGTCATGGGAATAAATTCTTAATTCATGGCCACAATATCTTGTTTCCACGTACATCCGGTTTATTAGTCACAGTGAAAATGGACAGTTTGGCTGAGTGCCTTGTATTGTGGGATGCTTTTGGCAAATGTAGGTATTCTTTGCATTTAGAAAATCTACATGCTGTTATAAAGAGGTTAGATTCTTTTCATTCCAGATTGTTTTTGATACTGATGCTGAAATTTGACAGTCTGTAGATGACCAAGATGTCTGATAATAATACTCGAGGTCTAAAGTGTTACAAAACAATAGCTCTGAATTTATCATTTTTTTGTATTGTTCATAACTCCAAATAATCTCCTGTGTATCTAGTTTCTCCCATGTGTATCGTCAGTTGTTGTTGTTTTTTTTTAACCCATAGTTCAGTCTCATTCAGTGTCGTGGTCTTCAGCAGGGGGCAGGGCATGAGTGCCATTAGTTTTCTCAGGCACAGGAAGAAGGCTGGGGAGGCGGAGTGGACATCAAAGTGAAGCCGAGCACTCTTCATGTGTTCATTAAATAAAGAGCTATCCTAGACCCACTCGCTGATTCCAGTAAACCCGTCACTTAAAAGATCAGAGGAGCCACTCTCCTCCTCTGCGTCTTCCTCTGTCATCTCTCCTTCCGACATTCTGATGCATGTCGTAAGAGCAGTAAAAACGGTACTGCTTTTTTTTTTTTTTACTCATTTCTTCATTTCCT